TTAATTTAAGCTGTAAGAACAGTTAGCAAGAAGCCTGCCATGGCCATACAGTTTGTAACCAATATAAGTCTCTGTGTTTACTTGGTCGGGTTTGAGCGGCTGTGGGACTGGCAGGTGAGAGAGATTTGCCCTGACCATGGGCCAGGCAGGAAAACTCTAGCTACAAGTTATGACAATACATGTTTATCCAATTATAGTTCTGAGTGTTTTGATCCCTTTTCATGTGTTTGAGAATCCATTCATGTATGAACAATTCTGTGTATCCTATCTGCTTTTCTCCTGTCACTTGTCATTGAACCACCATTTTTACACCTTTTATTTTATTTTTTTTTTAATTTATTTTGCAATACAATTCAGTTCTACATATCAGCCACGGATTCCCTTGTTCTCCCCCCTCCCGTCCCCCTCACCTTCCCCCCAACCCCCTCCCCCCATTCCCATCTCCTCCAGGGCAAAGCCTTCCCCACAGACTGAGGTCAACCTGGTAGACTCAGTCCAGGTAGGTCTAGTCCCCTCCTCCCAGGCCGAGACAAACAATCCTGCATAGGCCCCAGGTTTCAAACAGCCAACTCATGCAATGAGCACAAGATCTGGTCCCACTGCCTGGATGCCTCCCAAACAGATCAAGCCAATCAACTGTCTCACCCATTCAGAGGGCCTGATCCAGTGGGGACCCACTTTCATTTCTCTAATCATCACTCTAGAATGACTTTATTAAACCAACTTCTAAAACGTTGGGTTCTACTACCGTTTTTGTTCTCATTTATAAATATAACTTTGAGACACTTAAAAATATCTTTACTTGCCGGGCGGTGGTGGCGCACGCCTTTAATCCCAGCACTCGGGAGGCAGAGCCAGGCGGATCTCTGTGAGTTCGAGGCCAGCCTGGTCTACAGAGCAAGATCCAGGAAAAGGTGCAAAGCTACACAGAGAAACCCTGTCTCAAAAAACCAAAAAAAAAAAAAAATCTTTACTTATGTTTGTGATGTCACAGGAAAATTGTTCTGAATGTGTATGCAAATGGTGGTGCCATATGAAAAGGTTTCCATCAGAACTACCATGTAGGATCACCTCAATCTGTTTTCAGATTGACTTTTTCTGCCTCTTCTCTCTAACTTATGCCTGGACCCAGTACACTCATGAGCCTGATGCCTTTTAGCCCAGCATTGATGCTAAAGGAGATGTTTTACTCTCTACTTTTGAGGATGAATGAAGATACCCAGACTCTGCCCTGATGTTTTTATGTGAAAAATAACTACTCTATGGCCAAAGAAAATTCATGTTTTGAATCATATGTAACTGTCCATAAGACTAGGTATTCCCTGTTTATATCTAATATTTTGTTAAAAACCTGGTACCTTAAGTTCAGTCACATTTTCCAGACTTCTAGAACAACTAGGCTTGGTGACTTTGCTGAATTGCTTAATATAAATATATCAAACATAGAACATGACCATACCATTCTTTTACTATAACTGAATTAGTGTCATATAATTAAACTAGTATGCATGTGTATATGTCTTAGCTAGGGTTTCTCTTGATGGGATAAAATACATGATCAAAAGAAGTTTAAGGATAAAAGGGTTAATTTTCACTTAAAGTTCTATATCACATCCTATCATTAAAGGATGTCACAGCAGCAGTTCAAAGCAGAAACCTGAAGGCAGAAGCCCAGAGTAGTGCTGTTTACTGGCTTGTTCCCCATAGCCTGCTAAGTCAGTTTTCTTATATTATACAGGACTATCTGCCCAGAGGCAGCATCATCCACTGTGGGCTGGGCACTTATACATCAATCATTAATCAACAAAGTGCCTCAAAGTCCATCTGGTATGGGCATTTTCTCAACTGAGGTTACAAATTCTCAAATGACTATAGCTCATGTCAAGTTGACAAAACACTAATCAGGAAAATCAACCCTTTCTCAATTTGACAAAAACACATTACTGTTAATACATAATCTTTACTTTCTTGTTCATTGCTGAGATCTCATATTAATATTAATATCTCAATATAAGACAGTCCAAACTAAAAGTTCCACAATCTTTAAAAATTTAAACACATTAAAAACCTCTTTAAATTATCCAAAGTCCCTTTTAAAGTTCAAAGCCTGTCTGAAATATATAAATCCTCTAAAAATATATCCAAAACCTCTTTAAAATTCTAAAATTTCGAATTCTCTCTAAAATACCAAAGTCTTTTTGTTCCTATGGAATAAAAACTAAATGCAGAGCTTCTTATTACAAGAGGCATCAATCAGGTCATGGTCACACCCAAATCAAAGCAAAACTAAGATTCAAAAGTGTAAAAATGCCAATGCTTGGCCACTTCTCCAACCTTGCTCTCTACAGCACACAGCTTGTCTCACTGGGTGGCTTCATTCCACAGCTTCTATTGTCCTTTGCAGTGATCCAGTGGTACTGACATCTCTCGAGTTCTATGTCCTCCCCTGCAACTGAATTGTACCATCGTCCACAGCTTCTCTTCAAGGATTCTGACCCTACTATGTGGTGCCAAGCCTTAACTTCTCTCCATAATCTGGGAATTCTATTTCAACTGTGGCTGCACCTTCACTAATGTCCTTTTCTGGCCTGTCAGATGACAAGCCTCCGTTGTTCACCATGGCTTCTTTAAGTTTTCAAAACTAGTACTACCTGGAAAAGTCTTACCCGTTATGAAGTTTAGCTGTCAGAATTGGGTAAAACTTTAGCCTCCTCTGGGTAATACTCTATGCTGATCCCGAGGAAGAACTTTCCTGAAAATTTTGCCTTAACGATGCTGGGCTCTTGATAATCACAGCTAAGTCTTCAGCTTCAGCTGACCAAAACCAGAGTTTAATCCAAATTGCTGAATGATCTATATTCTTTAAGGAACTTGCCAACTTCTCTCTGAAACTTACAAGCCAGGACTCAATTACCTGACTGTTTTCAAGTTTACCTTTTTAGTTACTAGAAGTCACAAAGCTCTAAACGTTCATTGGCTTTTCTAGCCCAAAATTCTAAAGTTCTTCTTTGATCCTATTTAAACATATTCAGGTTTGTCATAGCAATGCCACATAATTTTCCTACCAATTTCACTCTTAGAGTTCCTATTGCTGTGATAAAACACCATGACCAAAAGCAACGTGGGGAGAGATTTATTTCATCTGGTAACTCTCAGGTCACACTTTATAACTGAGAAATATCAAGGTAGAAACTCAGTGCATCAGAAGGCAACAACTGACACAAAATCTAAGCAGGAACACTGCTTACTGGTTAGCTCTTCCTGACTTGTTCAGCTTGTTTTCTTATACCATCTAGGAACATCTGCCACATGGTGGCACCCATGTATTCTGGGCTAGACCCTTCCACTCAATCATTAATTAAGAAAATACTCTACCGGTTACCCTCAGGCCAATATGCTGCAGCATTTTCACAATTGAAAATCCTTCTACCTGAATGGTTGTTGCTTGTTTCAAGATGGCAAAAACTAAACAGGGAAAAATATATAATTTAACTATGTATATATTTATACACAGACACATATATATATAAATATATATCTATATACATGTGTCCATAAATATATACATTGTTAAAAGTTTTTATGATGAAAGTAACTTTATTATTTTTAATTTTTATATCATTCTATTAATTATAATTGATCATATAAAAATAAATTCAAATAACAAATTGTGCTTATATCTTATCATGATTTCATTAACCATTTAAAAGTCTGTGAAGAGTTCAATTACAGTATGAATTTCAAAACATACATTAATACTCTAAGAGAGTATAAAAATCACAATTCCTAAAGTTATTAAATCTGAGACTTTATAGTCACATGGGGGTTATTATATAAACTAAGATAATGCATAATCCAGTTCATTTTAGACAGTAAAAATAATGCAATGGGAAGTAGATGTCACCTGTGTGTAAGTGGAAAATGTTGTGGAGGTTCTTGTATTGTTACTCTTAAACTGTTACCTTGGTACACTGCATACAAACCACATTAAACTCAGGTGTGGGCATGATAAAGAGCTCATCCTCTTCAATGAGCTCTGTCCCATTTGGTATTAGAAATTAAGTTGGCATAACAACTGAGCTGAGAGTTCTACTACTCTCATCATTCCATCTTGGGAGGGTGTAATGATCACTAAGCCCAGCTGCACTTTGCTGTGTGTTTCATATTTTATTAGTCATAGCAGGTATTATAGCAAACAATGAAGTTCAGAAATCAGTCTCTGAAAAATCATTAAAGCAAAAAGTAAAACTTGTGACATAAGAAGTACGTAGTAAGAAGTAAGAAGTTCCAATATGGAATCAGTTAAATTTCTGTGGAAGAATCAAAATTTAAAACTATAATATTTAAACATTTGTGTATGCTTGAGTCTCATAGCAATTAAATGGTGGAGCATGAGGATCAATGCATAGCATATGACTTTCCTGTAGAAACTGATCTCTCTCAGTCAACAAGACCCAGAACTATTATCAGCCACTGCAACTTGATATGTGAAAAATGAATCTAAAAATTCTTATAAACTTTTAAAAAATGATGGTATATCCTTTACCACCTGAGGCCAGTGCTCAGAATAAGAATGTTATCTATCCTACCTTGTGATGACAGAGGATATGGTGCTTCATTATAGTGGATAGATAGCAGAAAGAGGCATTCATTTCTCATTTACATGTTTTGTATTATGAGCATATTCAGTTATAACAAGTATAACTAATTGGAAAGACAAGAGTTCAGTTAATAGTTTGTTATAAAAAATTTAAGAGCAGAAAGAAAGAGGGAGTGAGTGGGAAAGAAGCTCATGGCAGCTGGCATGAGGCAACACTTTGAAATGCCATAATAACAAACAATTCTGAGTAGTTCATATCTACTACTGATGGGAACACTGGATTAATGGGCATTAATCAATTAGATAATTTTACATGAAATTATAACAGCACAAGATACACAAATAGACTATGATATGTAAATTATACTTTGGCAGTTAACAACACTTACTTTCCTTGCAGATAGTCTACATGGGCTGGTGTGAAGCACGGGAGCAGGAAATCCTCCAGGACCGTGTGTATACACCTGTCTTTCTTGCCTTGAGGGGCTCATGTCTTTACAGGTTCCCATCACCTCCAGTAAGTGTTTGCAACCAAATATTTGAGGTCTTGGATGTGCTGATAGTAAACTGGCATCACCTGAATGATATTTATTACTACATTTTGAAAATGAGGTTTAGGACATTTAAGAAACATTAAGTTAATGTCTGTTTAAAGTATTTTGTTAAATGTAAAGCCTTGAAGAAAATAGATGTTTTTGCTTAAGAACTTGACAAATGGATAAAATCATAATATTGTTAAAAAAAATCCATGAAGTAATTTAATAAATATTCACATGAATATGTCAGAGTATTGAATTAATTTGATGAAAAAATAAAGAAATGATGAAAGGTAAGATAAGAGATTTAAAATTTTATTATATATTGATGAATGTTATATTCATTTTGGATTTGTGGACCATTTGAGAATACTTAGTCGATATTTACAGTGTTACATTACCAGCGCTAAGTGTTCGACTTATGTTCAATTTTAACATTAGTTTTCCTTATCGTAAAAATTATGCAAATAGATCAATCACTAAAGATAAAAAGGTTTATTTTGTCTAACAGTGTCAGAAGATTCAACCATTGACCACATATCCCTGTTTTCACTGCTTAGAGCAGCCTTGTGCAACATGGTTGGAACACAAACCAGGGGAAGATACTTACCTTTTGGCAACCAGGATTTAGAGAGAACAGAAGGAGTTGGGTTGGGTTGTTAATACTCCATGGAATTTCATGTTCCTGTTGAGTTAAACTTCCTTGAATTATAGCCCACCTCCTAAATATTCTGTCATGTTCAAAAATATGATAGACCAGGGATAACAATTCAATACATGAGTCTTTGGGGATATTCAAGTTCAGCTACAGCACTAAGCTATCTTATCAACATATGGCCTTCCATAAGGTGCAGTTCTTCTGGAAATGCAACCATGCTATGTTTGTGATATGTTATATTGTATATTTTATGTAAACTAAATGTGTCTGCACATCTGCTTTCTTGAAAGCCTTGCTTTGGAAACATGTAACTTACAGAGAAGTAACACCCAATAAATATTTATTGACTATCAATATAAAGTGCCATGCTGCTCAATGACAGGCTTAATAATATCAAGTATCTGGGACTTCTCAAGTCTGAATCATTATTATTTTTAGTGTTTATGCCTACACAAAATTCATAATACCAGAAAAATTAATGTTTATATTTCTTGCTATATTCCTACTCTGAATAATTTCTTCTGCTTGGAGAAATGAAATATGTAAGAAAGCTAACTTCACAGTGGTATTGAAATCTTCCCAATATCTTAATAATTTGGGAATATTTTTTAAATATCAATAACTTATTTTTAAATTATTGAAATCATATTGCTATGTTATGTCATTCTCCACATCTTACTAAGGGAAAATGCATATTTGGTACTTGCATACCTAATATTTGCATTCAGAGAACTCACAAATAATTTTAAACACGAAACAGTTTTCTAAAATGGAAATTGTTTCTGATAGCATAAATTTTTTTCTGAAAAGAGGAAGATAAATGGTGATAAATTTTAAATAAACCAAAATGGTATAGAGGAACTTTATATGAACTCCATCATAGATTAAGAGAGTAAAGAAGCACATCTCTGAAAGTGTCATTGTTCAAATGAAACTGAGGGGAGCAGAACTATGTTACTAGAACAGATGAACTGTTACTTCTTGTCTTTTGAAGGTGACCACCTGGGATTGGACACGAGCAGAGAAAACTTTCTCCATATGTGAGATCATGTGCAAGGTTCTCAAGGTATGCATTATAAAGACAGGAGTTTCAAATTATGTGTTCTACAGAGTTGATATCTGAACTCAAGAACAACTCATGGATACAAAGAACTGATAAATAAAAGAGAATTAAAGGAGGGAAACTGGGAAGTACAAAAATGCACCGGCACCCAGAAAAAAGTCTTTGAAATTTAAAAACATGAAATCAAATATAGAAAATACTTATTTAGCTTGTCTTGGAATGTGACAGTCACTGTATATCATAGATCAGTTAATTTCTGTGTGACACACAGAACTGTCATAACATCAAGTAATCAGTAATTCTGAAAAAAATTGAAATGACATATGCAGTCTACAGTAAGAATCAAAGTGGGTTATTTGGAAGAACCATCAATGTTTCCTTTTAAAACTTTTATAGTACAAATTTAATGTCTACAACATGATGCTATGGGAAACATTACATATATTGATAATACACACACACACACACACACACACACACACGGTACTAATATGATGAAAACTTGCATTTTCTTCATTTCACATGTTAATTGTTTTCAAATAAAGAGAAGTATTTTCAAGCTTAACAATAGTAATCTTGAAAAGTTTACATTCTTTTTCAGTAACTATATCAGATGTGTTAGCTCACACCTTTAATCCCAGCACACTTAGAGACAGAGGCAGGTAAGCCTCTGTGAATTTGAAGCCAGTTTTATCTACATAGCAAGTTATAGGTCAGCCAGGGATATTTAGTGAGATCCTATTTTAAAAACAGGATTCTTCAAATAATGTATAGATCCTTTTAAGCTTTATTGACCCTATTGAGCTATAACAAACCTTGAGGCAGTTCCTAATCTCTTAAATGTGCTCTGGTGCCACTTCTTCTGTCCCCTCCTCCTTGTCCTTCTCTGTCTCCAGTGTGGGGCACCATTGAGATTTCCTTGTGAAATTTGAGCTTACTTTACTCAGCAAGACTGCATTAGGGAATGGCTTCACCACGTGTATGGTTACCAGGTATTTGGAATGGTCTGCACTTGGTTGTGCTAGGGGGAGGATTTTTGCCCTGTCCCTTGGCATTCCTGTTAAAAAAAAAACCATTTTTTTAGAGACAGAAGGGACCAGTGGATATTGATACAGTTTCCTCCAAGGCTATGCTGTGTTTCTGTCTGTCTTCTCCACACTGTTTCCATCTAAATATTTCTTATCCCTCTCTCCTCAAGAGTACCCTGGGAAAAAGTGGAAGCAGGCCTCCTACAGATGGCACCAGAATTAGGGACATGACTAGGGACCTGGTGAAAGGAGAGTAAGGGGTGTTGCGGGGGCAGTGAGGCATGCCTGGTAATGAATTAAAAATAAAGGCAACAGTATTCTATTTTTAGGAGTAAAATTTTATATACATAAAGTAAAGTGGCTGAAAGAAAAGACAATGTGAGAAGTTAGGTTGCAGTGAGTATCTCTGTCTAAGTTTCTTTATCTTTCTCTCTCTTAATTTTTATTTATTAAAATTAAGTAAAAATATAGGGTTAGGTATAGGAATATTGGGTAAGAAGAAACTTAAGAGTAGAATTTCCCCAGTGCTGAAATGGGGCAGGAAAATAGTGAGCAGATCTTCAAAGATTCACTTGTAGAAACCTTAAAAACTACAGAGTTTAAGGTGGGACCACAACAAGTATGGAAATTTTTGGAGTTCATAGAGGAACTGTTCCTTGGTTCTCTGACTATGGGAATCTGAATGCAGACTCCTGGAGGAGAATCAGAGCAGAAAAAAAAATACTATGAGGAAAATGAGTCAGAAAAGATTCCCAGGGAAGCTTTCTGCCTGTGGGCATTAATTTGAGACAACTTAGATCCAAGCCCTGAGATGCAGGGGAAATTTCTCCCTGAGGTTGATAACGGTGAGACCAAATCATCCACTCCAGTACCACTAGATAAAAATGCTTGTTGACAACATTGTACAACCAGGGTCAGTTTTTTCTTGCCCATGAAGTCCAGTTTTGCGGGGCATTTAGCCACAAACCTTATAGTTCCCCATAGTTCTTGAGTTTGAGCAGCAGGTAATATTAGATAGAAGGATTTAGATTGTGAAGATAAACAGATAGAAAATAATGGATAGCCTTGAGAGGGCCTGGAACCTATTCCAACTGGCCCTGACTATCTCTGCCCCAGGGTATTTATAGAGCCACCAAGGAGTGGAGCAAAAGACCTCCTCCCCAGCACAGCCAAGTGCAGACCATCTCAGACACCTGTGCTTAGGCCCATGGTCCTAATTATCCTCTCTTTGCAGATCTGCTGAGTAAAGCCACAAGGAACCTGAAAACAGGCTTCCTCAGGTCCTCCTTTCTTAATATATGAAAAATAACTCATTATTAATGGCTTACAGCAATCTCCATAGCTGTTATACCTCCCAGTATGGGAGTAGAGGATGATAAAGATGGCATTTCTCTTTTTGATTAGGTCCAAGGTGACTACAGCAGTCTTAGCTGCATCAAGCCTTCTTTAAACCAAAAACTTAATGCAATTGCAAACTTAAAAAATGGCATATTTCATCATTACCAGTAACAGGTAAACATAAATATTGCTATACATAGTTACAATTCTCTCAATCTTATAACTCAAAGCAAACTCTTAACAGAATCATTTGAATTAACATAAATGATGCTACATATAGTTAAAAATTTTCTCAGTCTTACAACTTTAACTCTTAATAGAATCATTTGAATTTTCTTGCTAACAGAACATAGGAAAAACTTCTAATGTATACACATCAAACTTAAATATTTCCTTAACGCCACAAAACCAGGGTGCATTAATATCAATAGATTAAACGTAATTTCTGCAAACATACATTCAACCTTAATTCACTCATAACTCCTCCTTTTCTTTATAATTTTTTAAACAAAATCTTGAACCTAGTTAGAAAAAACCCAAACTTATACAATTCCTACAAACCCATGTTGAAAAGCAATATTTTCAATCTAACCATTAACACTTTAAAAATGTTTAGCAAAACATCCAAAAAGCAGTTTCTTAATAAAACTCTTTACACTTTAAAGTAATGTTAGTATATCCATTTGCATTTCTTAATAACAAAACATAACATTAATCCACTCAAATAATTTTTTAAATTAAATAAACTAAGGCATATTACTTCTCCCTTTTATTTATAATTTTTTAAGCAAAATCTCGTCTAGTTAGAAAACTCAAACTTTTCATTTAAACAGTTCCATTTGTAACACAAAATCAGTTCCATAATTAATTCCATTTTTACATAAACAGTTCCATAAGACAGTTCATGAACCACCTGTCAATAAAGCATATATGCATACACAAAACTGCATCTTGAGTCTAGGTAAAAACAATACATTTCTTCATTTAAACAGTTCCATTTTTTAACACAAATAATTCCAGAAGACAGTTCCTAGGTCATCACTATAAGTAAATTCAAAATTGTCCCATTGCACTGAAATCACTTTTGTTCATTTCATTCTTAAGTCCCAAAATTCAAATAATAAATTCTGGTATGAGCCTTCCAAATATGAAGAAATCCATAACAAAAATCTTTTTGCAGTTTTCTCATTTTTCAAAGTTCAAAAAGTTCAAAAGAAGTAAATTCTGGTATCAGACTTATACTTCCAAATATGAAGAGACATTTTGCAACCAAAACTTTTTGCAGTTAACAATTTTAATTCAAACAACTGTCTCTGCAACTTTCATTCTCATGGACAGAGACCTTTATAGTTACAGTAATATTTTAAACTGCACCATTTTTGCTGTTAGCTCAGGTTTCTCTGTGTTGTATTGATTTTCCATGGATCTCAGCTGCGGATGCTTTGTGCTTGTTCTGGTGTCCACCATTAGCTTTATAGTGACTTCTGGAGCTTTTGAAACCACTCAGACTGCCTGCTTTGCAGTCTACTATGACACTATCTTCTGTGTCTCAGGTTTCTTCACCATATATATTAAGAATAGACTAACACTTAACATTTACACTTTTTCACAAACTCACATAATATATCTTGCAAAGCATTTAGATTCACATTCAACATTTACATTTTTTTACAAACTCACCTATAGCATTAACATCTACTTATTTATACTCCTTAAGGAAACTATAGAACTACTTTAGCAAATATATTTCTTATTTACTTCTTATAGTCGTCTTATACATCTTATATTCATTCTCTCTTCTTATTTAAACTTACATTTACAAGTAGCATCTTTACTTCTTACAAGCTTATTACTACATGTCTTAAGACTACCTTAGATACTTCTTGCAAGCTTATATTCTTAAAGAAACTATAGATCTATTTTATGCTTATATAGGGCTAAATTAGCATATATCTAACTTAGCAAACACCTAAAGATTTCTTAACACTTAGAAGAGATTTAACAAAACAGAATAATTTTCTACTTCTTACTCTTAATTATTATCACTATCTCTTAGAAAGGAAGTACACAAATCATTTCTAAAGTTCAGAGCTTACAGACAGCTTTGATATTCTAAAAATTCTTGATAGATTGAAACAAGAGCGTAATTCTTTAATAGCTCTCTCAACTCTAGGATTTAGTGAGTGTTGTTAAACAGTATTTTATGCCTTTCAGATTTTTTATAACAACTCTATTAAGAGCTATATCAGTTTACAGCAAACCCAAAAAGAAAGAAAAGTGAAAAGACAAACCTTGTAAGGAATATTCTGTTTCTGAATTGCTTAGCTAGTCATTCCATAACAATCAATTTCCAAACAGGAGAAGGCTGTTGTCTAAATTGGAGTGGGGTTCCAGATCTGCAGCTTTCAGCAGGTCTGAAGACATTGCTGAAACTTAGTTACAATTGTCTCAAACTCCTCAGCAGTCTGGAAGATTCTTTATGCTCCTACTATCCCCAGACTGCAAGATGGAACCTTAATATCAGGAGCATTTTTTTAGCTGCTTTTTATACTCATCACCAAACTGATACAGTTTTCCCCATTCTTAATTTTTTAAAGCTGTATTTGCCGTGAGTTCTTTAACAATGATGTTTGATAG